AATCTCGGGAATGGAGTAAACGGCATCAAAAATTACGTCCAGGTGTTGAATTTGCAACTGGAAAAGATCGTCATGCTCGTGCGTGGCAACTTGACAAAGTTAGAGCGTACAACGATCGGAGCGCTGGTGGTTATCGACGTGCATGCACGAGATACGATCTCACATATGATCGAAAAAGACGTGGAAAGTGACCAGGACTTTGAGTGGATCTCTCAGCTTCGATACTACTGGACGGAAGGCGTAAAATCTGCGGGTGTGTCCGACTTACAAGCCCGGATTGTGAATGCTCGAGTGCGTTATGGTTACGAATATCTGGGCAATACGATGCGTCTGGTGATCACTCCGCTGACTGATAGATGCTATCGTACAATGATGGGAGCAGTGGATTTAATGTACGGTGGCGCACCGGAAGGTCCAGCAGGAACAGGCAAGACGGAGACGGTGAAAGATCTGAGTAAGGCGATTGCTATCCAGTGCGTGGTGTTTAACTGTTCCGATGGATTGGATTATTTAGCTATGGCTAAATTCTTCAAAGGTCTGGCTGGTTGTGGGTCGTGGTGCTGTTTCGACGAGTTTAATCGTATCAACATCGAGGTTTTATCGGTCATTGCGCAGCAGATATTGACGATTAATGAAGGCAAGAAAGCTGGTGTGGACAAGTTCCTCTTCGAAGGAACGTTTATCAAACTTAACGCCAGTGCCAACGTGTTTATCACTATGAATCCAGGATACGCTGGTCGTGCTGAGCTTCCAGATAACCTCAAGGCGTTGTTCCGACCGTGTGCTATGATGGTGCCGGACTACGCTTTAATCTCGGAGATTCGACTGTACTCTTTCGGCTTTGCTCAAGCGCGTAGCAATGCTCGGAAGCTCACTCAAGTGCTGCAATTGGCGTCGGAACAGCTATCGTCACAGAAGCATTATGACTACGGAATGCGTGCGGTTAACTCCATTCTGGTAGCTACCGGCGCGTTGAGACAACAGCTCGGTAACGATCCGTTTTGGACCGAAGATAAGATCGTTCTACGCTCGGTACAGGACGTCAACCTACCCAAGTTCACTTCAGATGACTTGCCACTTTTCCGCGGTATCACGTCGGATTTATTCCCCGATGTTTTGCTGCCATTACCAGATCATGGAGCGCTGTTACGTCACATTGATGAGACCTGTGAACGAGGGATAAGTATCGTGCCAGACGTCAACATTCCGCTGGAATGTAAACCCGAATTTAAGATGAAGGTAGTGCAGTTCTACGAGACTGTACAGGTGCGTCACGGTCTCATGATTGTAGGCACTACTGGGTCGGGTAAGACGTGTGTTGTGCACTCGTTAGCAACTGCAATGACGTCGTGCTATAACGAAGAGATCGAGACACAGGAAGAAAACGGTACAAAGGGGGCACCGACGTTGCAACAGCGGGTGAATATCCACACGATGAACCCGAAAGCCATCACCAGTGGCCAATTGTACGGCAACTTTGACGAAAACACACACGAGTGGTCGGACGGAGTGCTCGCTTGCACGTACCGTAACTGCGCTCGCGATACCAGTACAGAACTACAGTGGGTTATGTTCGACGGGCCTGTGGATGCTGTCTGGATTGAGAACATGAATACGGTACTGGATGACAACAAGAAGCTCTGTCTAATGAGCGGAGAGATCGTGAAAATGACGGAACGGATGAGGATGGTGTTTGAGACGGAGGATCTGGAAGAAGCCTCTCCTGCTACAGTCTCACGTGTCGGTATGGTGTTCTTGGAAGCCAAAGTGCTTGGATGGGAAGTGCTGGTTCGGACATGGCTACATACGCGCTTACCTTTGGCCTTTAAGTCTCACAGTGAGTATCTGGAAGAATCGTTTCGGTGGATTGTGCCTCCGATGCTTTATTTCGTCGATAAACACTGTACAGTGCCCACACCTGTGACGTTCCTAGAGCACGCTGCGTCGCTGTTAAGACTGTTTGAATGCGCTCTCCGTGATGGTTTCCCAGACCCAAGTGATGGCTCTACTACAGCGTCTTCCGTACCTACTGGAGCTGATGCACAACGTATTCTGGAGTGTGTACTTATTAAGGCGGTTATTTGGTCGATTGGAGCTTGTATCGACTCGAAATCGCGCCGGATTTTCGACAGATATTTACGCGATTTCCTGTCCGCTGAACTGGCTGTAGCTGTGGCCACAGCGGAGATGCATACAGAGCCTGTAGACGAAGAAACGGGAGTCCCCGCGTCGTCCTCTTTGCTTTACTTTATGGACTTTGTAGCCAAGTCTCCGTCGTATATGCTGCTACCTGACCGTGTAGCGATGCTTCCAATACCTGAAGAAGGACTCGTATACGACTACCGCTTTGACACACGACGTTGTGTGTGGGTTAACTGGATGGAAGCTTCTGGAGCGTTCGTAATCCCTCGAGACGCGCAGTTTACTCAAGTATTAGTGCCTACAATCGACTCGGAGCGTAACGCGTGGCTGTTAGACACTCTAATTCGCCACCATTTCCACGTTCTTTGTACCGGTGATACCGGTACAGGCAAGTCTGTATCGATCAAGAAGAAACTGCTTAGTGGACTGAATGATCCTCCAGGTAGCGATGTGCCCCCGAAGTTTGCGTCGTCGATATTCCTTAACTTTTCAGCACAAACTAGCGCGAATCAGACTCAAGATTTGATTGAAGCTAAGCTGGATAAACGTCGCAAAGGCGTGCTGGGTCCTCCTCTTGGACAGAGCTGTGTTATCTTCGTGGACGATCTCAATATGCCGGCTAAAGAGACGTATGGTGCTCAGCCTCCTATTGAACTTCTACGGCAATGGATGGGCCACGGAGGCTGGTATAACCGCAAGGATAACTCGTTCACTCAACTGGTAGATATCCAGTTTATCGCTGCTATGGGACCTCCCGGTGGTGGTCGAACACGCATCACACAGCGCTACGTGCGGTATTTCAACCTTATCAATTTCGTACCGTTCGATAACGACTCACTCCGAGCCATTTTCACTCGAATTACAGACTGGTTTTTGCTTAACTTCCCACAAGCAGTTAAGCAACTCGGTGGTGCAGTGGTGAGCGCTACTATTGATATCTATAACACCATTTCGCAAGCATTGCTACCCACTCCGGCTAAGTCACACTACACGTTTAACTTGCGTGATTTATCCAAGGTTTTCCAGGGTGTTGCACAGGCTTCGAGTGACACTATCAAGGACGGCAAAGACTTTGTTCGATTGTGGAGTCACGAGTGTCTACGAGTGTTTTCTGACCGACTTATTGACGACAAGGACCGTGCTTGGTTTGCGGATATTCTAACAAAAACTGTTAAGTTGCATTTCGATCTGCAGTATACGGCTGCAGATGTACGCGGACCGAACGCTACGTTGATTTACGGTAACTTTGGAGGCGCAGGGGATGGGAAGAGTGGCGTTAAACACTACGCAGAGCTCCGAGATCGTGAGAAATTACAGAATGCGATGCAGGTTTTTCTGGAAGATTATAACAATATGAGTGCAGCGCCCATGCGGCTAGTACTATTCCAGAATGCTATTGAGCACGTGGCGCGTATTTCTCGAGTTATTCACCAGCCTTTGGGCAACGCGCTGCTCGTCGGTGTGGGCGGTAGCGGACGTAAGAGTCTCACGACGTTGGCCGTGTTTATGGCGGAGTACAAATTGTTCCAGATTGAGATTTCTAAATCTTATTCTAGAACGGAGTGGCGTAACGATATCAAGAAGGTGTTGCAGTTAAGTGGATTAAATAA